CGTGGCAGTGCCACTCTGGCAGTGGACCACAAAGGGTGCCAGTGCCAAGCACATATACTTGCAGGTCCTCACCAGTGGTCGTGGCTGTGCCAGGGGCTCCCCTGACTGGTACATGGCTTGTAGTCCCCTTGGCAGCTGACATGTGCCAGGGAGCCCAACCTCTGCCAGCCCTGTGGCCTTGGCAGGGTGACAGCAGCCGCCCCATACCTTGCAGGTGGTCAAGTGGGCACTGAAGAAGCTGGAGTTGACCAAGTATGCAGACAAGCCTGCCAGCACCTACAGCGGGGGCAACAAGAGGAAGCTGTCCACAGCCATCGCACTCATTGGATACCCAGCCTTCATCTTTCTGGTGCGCCCTGAGGGTGGRAAAATGACCCTGGGTGGGAGCTGGCCACCCCTGGCTTCACCACTCACCACGTATCTCCTGGAGTGTGGGATCRTAGCGTGAGCTGGACTCAGGACAGGAAGGGAGTGGCAGGGTCCCTCCTAGRGCTGACATGTCTGAGGGTTCTGTCTGTCCCCCAGGATGAGCCAACTACAGGGATGGACCCCAAGGCACGGCGTTTCCTTTGGAACCTCATCCTGGATGTCATCAAAACTGGTCGCTCCGTGGTGCTCACGTCTCACAGGTCCAGGGGGGTTCTGTGCCTTCAGGCACCTGAGGTGCTATCTGGGAGGGAGGGACCTCCCTGGTCCCCAGGGAATGGCATTTGATAGAGGCATGAGGAGCAGGGGGAGCCTGAAACACCCTCTGTTGCCTTTTCTCATCCCTCCCTGGTGGTGAGACCACAKCACTTGGGTGATGGCCTGGGGGCCCAGCTCCCCACCTGCCTCTACCAAAGCCCTGGCAGTGTCCTCCCGTGCCTTCCACTGACCCTACCTTGTCATCACAGCATGGAGGAGTGTGAGGCGCTCTGCACCCGCCTGGCCATCATGGTGAATGGGCGCCTCAAGTGTCTTGGCAGCATCCARCACCTGAAGAACAGGTAAGAGCCTGGTGGGAGCCCAGCACACCTGCMTAGGGCCCAGCAGCSTGTGTGTGCTGCAGGGCAGGAGGGGGCTGTGTTTCCATGTTTGGGTGACAGTGTGGCATCTGTGATGAGACACCAGCCCTTTGTGTGGGTGCCATTTTGGAGGTGGGCAGGGAATGGGCTCCCTGAAGGACCCTGCCAGTGTCCTGGTGTCCAGTAGTGGCTGCCTGAGAGCATTGCCCCCTTCCATGGGGTTATGGGGGTGCAGATRATGTTCCTGTGCAGGTTTGGTGATGGCTACATGATCACAGTGCGCACCAAGTCCAGCCTCAATGTCAAGGAGGTGGTGAGGTTCTTCAACCGTAACTTCCCTGAGGCTGTCCTCAAGGTGAGCTGCCCATGGTGGTCACGTTTTCCTCTGCCAGCCCCCACTTTGGGGCACAAGCAGCCTTCATCCCCCATGGGGTGATGGGAGAGAGTCRGGGAGTGGGGGCTCATTGTCCCCTCTGTGACCCCCCAGGAGCGGCATCACACCAAGGCTCAGTACCAGTTGAAGTCGGACCAGATCTCGCTGGCACAGGTCTTCAGCAAGATGGAGCAGGTGGTGGATGTGCTGGGCATCGAAGACTACTCTGTCAGCCAAACCACACTGGACAACGTAAGACTGGGGCCAGCATGGGTGGCTGGATGCTTGTCTCCAAGGAGRGTGGCCATGACATGGTGCCAGGCAGGATCTGCCTTTGGGGCACAGGGTGGAGCTAGATTGGGTGACATGGTGGCAGCCACCATACAGCTGGATGACCTGGTGGCAGGGGGGTGGATACCTGAGTCTCCTGCCCCTTCCTCCTCAGGTGTTTGTGAATTTTGCCAAGAAGCAAAGTGACAACCTGGAGCAGCAGGAGACAAGCCCCAGCTGTGTCCTGCAGTCGCCCCTGGAGCGCGTGCTGAGCCTGCTGCGCCCCCGTGCTGCCCCCACTGAGCTGCGGGCCCTCGTGGTAGAGGAGCAGGAGGACTTGGAGACTGATGATGAAGGCCTCATCAGCTTTGAGGAGGAAAGGGTGAGCGGTTGTTCCCAGATCTGGTTGTTCCTGGTCCCACCTGTGTCCCTGCTACGTGCCCTGGAACTGGGTGCTGTAGCCCCATGGAAGTAACACGACACAGCCAGGGCCAGGCCCTGGGGGAGTGGGAGCTCTCTGGGAGAAGTGTCTGCTCTGCCACCTGTGCCAGACTCTGGCCCCAGATGTTCTGGGTGTGCTGGCAAAGTGGGCAGCCCTTGAGCCCTGCCCTTGTCTCCCTGCTCAGGCTCAGCTCTCCTTCAACACGGACACGCTGTGCTGAGACCCTGGGGACAGCCATGTTCCCAGCTGTGAAACCACCGAACCCTTCTGGCCTCTCCCCTCCCTTTGCCCCGTTGGAGTGGAGTTGCCGCAGCCGGAGCCACATGTCAGGGAGGACACAGTGGGTACAGCAATGTCTGGATGGACCTTGCAAGCCACCAYTGGGGTGGTTTTTGACCTCTTCAGCTCCGGAGCAGCGTCACTGTGGTGCCAGGGGCATGGTCCTCAACCGGCACCTGCCATGGACGGAGACTGTGAAGGAAAGGACACAGCTTGGTGCCAGCCCCACTCTGGGCAGAGACACAGAGGCTTGCGAGTGGTGCCTTTGGCTGGACACCCATGTTACACTCGCTCCAGGGACCCTTGGCTGTGGGTACTTCCCAGGCTAGGCCCTGTGGAACTAGAAGAAGGATGGTTGCTTCCACATCACCCCTGGCTGGTGCTGCCCTGGGCACTGCAGGGGCAGGTGCTCTGGTGCTTCATCCACGACCGATTTCTGTCACCAGTGGGATGTCACTGGGGGTCTTGGCCCCACTGGTATATCCAGCCCACCCTGGGGTCCATTTGACCCAGCCCTGCCTGGCTTTGGGCACTGGCCTCTTCCCCAGGCAGCAGTGTTGCTGCTGAGGCATGTGGGGGGGCAGAGGGGTATTTCACAGGGTATTTCACATGCTGGCACCAGCTGTTTCTCCCCTCTGCCTCTAACCATGTCCCTCACCCTCAAGTCTCCTTGCCTACCCTCACCACCCACTTCCCCACCACAGGGCATTGCTGCAGCTCTGCCRCCTTTCTGCTGTGTCCCCTTCCATGTCGCTCTTGCCCTGACACTTGTTCCTCAGTGTCCAGCCTTGTATAGGAACCACCTGCACTAGGTTCTTATTGTTGGGTCACTGGTGGTATTGGTAGAGGGGTTGCTGCACCCCGGGATGGCTTTAGAAGCTGGGGTGGCCTTAAGGTACGAGGTTGGGACAGTCTGGGTAGGCGCTGGCACAGCCAGGCAGTGGTGCCCAAGGTGGTGGGGAGGGGAGGATGGACTTCAGGAGTGTGACTGGGCAGCAGTGGGCACCCCCTCAGCCAGAAGTGCCCCCCTTTTTTGCAGAGGGTCCTGCTGCCTTGTCACCCACAGGGACCAAGGCTGGTGCCTGCAGCTCTCAGCGATCTGCAGCTGTGCCTAGAGGTTGTGTGGCAGCAGGGCCTGTCATGCTGACCCCAATCCCCTGCTGCTGGGTGCCAGTCTTTAGCAGCACTCCAGCGTGGCCATGCACCTTCCTGGGGAGCATTGTCTGTCCTGTGTGTTCTGCTGCCCTCTCTGCCACCCTGGCACAGGCTTGGCTGGAGGCCCCGAGCAGCACCTAGCTCTTCTGTTGGCTGCCCTGGGAGGTGGGGGGAGGCTGGCTCTGGTCCACTTGGAGCAGAGCCTGACCTTAACTCCTTATGCCYCCTGGTGCCATCAGCCCCATATACCACCTGCTATAGATTGTGATACTATATACAGTATTTTAAATAGGGGGAAAAGTGGGGGGGAAAAGCTCTATTTTCAGATTTTTCAGACCATATTTTTTTTAATGGCATACGGGAAACTGGCTGAATCTGGGATGGTGTGGGTGGCATACGGGGCACCCCCACCAGCGTGTCCCTGCTCCCTTGCTGGCCGCACTCTGCCTTCCCCAGTGGATGCTGGGGAACAAGCCAGCTCAGTTTGCCCTTTGCCATCAGGGAGAGGGGACGGTGTCATCTTTTAAGTCCTCAGCTGTCACCTGAGTGGCACTCTGGGGCACCCCAGAGTGGGCAGTGTTGCTGTGCTCTGGGCTTTATCCTCGCCCCATACCTGCCCTACTRGACTATCGCTCAGGGCTCCACCAGGGCACTGGCACCCCAGTCACAGAGTGTCTCTTCCATCCCCAAGTCTTCCCCCTGTCACCATGCTGTCATGCCCATGGCTTCTGAGGTGTCCATACAGCTTGGGTGGCCATGGTGGCCTCCCTGCCCTTGGCTTAGGGCTGCYGGGGGACAGACCCTGCTGCAGCCASTCCAAGGGTGGGAGGAGGAGGGTTGTGCCCCAGAGCATTGCCCCAGGGCAGGGATGGCTGCTGCCTTAACACTGTTGACTTCGTTGAGTTTGGCCCTGCTTCCGGCCTTGCCTCGCTTTGTACGTCCTTGGCCACCAGCYGTGGGCATAGCGCCAGTGCCATGCTCAGCCCCAGGCATGGGGCCCCTGGGGGTGGGGACTTCTTGGAGCTGCCTGTACATTGCTAGCAAAAAAAAAAAAAAGATGAAATGTAAAAATAATGACTGTTTTAAATAAAAAATAATAACTGGATCTATTGAGACTGTAGTTGGGCATGGGGGGCGAGTGGCAGGGCTGGGCATCTGGGAGAGCCGCGCTGAGGAAGGCAGTGGGAGCGTGCATGGTGGGGGTGCAGGACCCTGCTAGGGGCAAGGAGTGCTGGGCACAACACAGGGCTGTGCCCAGTGCTTGGCATCATGCAGGCACTGTGGGGTGACTGAGGGTGCAGGCAGGAGCAGCAGCAGCTGGTAATGCCACCAGCTCCCCTCTTGGCAGCAGCCACGGTGGCAGGGCCCCACGGCAGGGCGTCCYGTCTGAGCCATGGGGCCAGGCGTGGGTGGCAGTGGGTGCACCCAGAGGAGGAATGTGGGCTGGGAGGGGCCGCAGCTTCAGCTGGGGCACTCAGGGCGCAGCCAGCAGTGCAGCAGCAGCCACCACGCAGCATGGCTGAGAAACCCCAAATCCAGCTCTTCATCAAGGTGAGGGGGGTCCTGTGGGCAGGGTCTCAGGCCAGTGGGTATCCCTGGCTGCCTGGCAGTGCTGTGGTGGGGTGGCTGGGCTGCCCCTACCCACTGCAATACCCAGATGTGGGGCACTGAACAGGCAGGGGGGTCAGGCACRGGCTATGGGGCTGGCAACAGGCAGTGGGGCAGGCAGTGGACAGCAGGCAGTGGGGGGACAGGTAGTGGGCAGCTCAGGCTCTCCTCCAGGCACACCACTTGCTGCTGCCAGACCTGCAGGCACAGGGGCTGTGGGGGCTCAACCTGGGGAYGCTGGTCTAGGATGGCCCCTCAAAGCAGGGGCCAGCACCACATCATCTGCACTTGCCAGGCCTCCCCAGCCACTACCAGCCAGGGCAGTGTATCCGGCTGTGCAGGGCAGGATAGGGCTCACCCAGGATTGTGGCTGGRGTTCAGAGCCACCAGTATCACTGTGACTTTCCCCCAGCAGTCTCTACTGCTGGACTGTCTTGCTGCCACTACTGGTCCCAAGCCCTTGTCCCCTCAGCACKGTTAGGTCCCCAGAGGGTGCCAGGGTCAGCACCTGGTGTGCCACATAGATGCTTGAGGGTGTGGCACTAAGGCCCTGGGGACAGGCARGGGCCAGGGGCTGGTGCCCTGCCTGGCATAGAAGGTGCCATGGATTGCAGCAGTTTGCCAGGCTGGGCTGGGGCATGTGTTCTGCCATCTTCTTCCTGTACCCACTGGGGCCACACCAGCACAAAAGGGCAGCTGAGCTCTCCTTCTGTGCCCACAGGCAAGTGAGGACGGGGAGAGCGTGGGGCACTGCCCCTTCTGCCAGCGGCTCTTCATGGTGCTGCTGCTCAAAGGGGTGCCCTTCACCCTCACCACTGTGGATGTGAAGAGGTAAGAGGTGGCCCCCTCGAAATGGGTGCCAGGGCCATGGGCAGGGTCGGGGGGGTTTGGTCCCCAGCAGTTTGGGAAGGGATGTGAAGGGTGAAGGGTACTATGGGATGCATGGAACTCTTCGTGCTCCCCAGGTGACCACTGGTGCCTGGGAGAGGTCGGTGGTTATTTCCTTGGGCACACAGTGAGGCAGGAGTGGCCTGGGGGCACCACTTTGAGGACCAACCCCTCAGAACTCCCTTTGCTTGGGACACACATGCATATATGAACAAACACACACACACACACACGGTGCCCTGCAGAGCACTGGACGTGCCAGGCATCAGCCATGTCCCCATCTCCCACAGGGCATTGGACGTGCTGAAGGACTTTGCACCRGGTGCCCAGCTGCCTGTTCTGCTCTACAATGGCGAGCCCAAGACTGACACCATCACCATTGAGGAGTTCCTGGAGGACCAGCTGGGCCCCCCCATGTCAGTGGCTGGTGCTGCCTTGAGAGGAGGAATGGGCCCCCCAAAGAAGGGCAGGACAGGCTGAGGGAAGAGGGGCCTGACAGTGAATGAGCCTGTGAGCCTCTGCCACATGCCTCAGCTGTGCCCATGTCCCCACAGGTGCCCCAGTCTGCTCCCACGGTACCCAGAGTCAAGCCTGGCTGGGAAYGATATCTTCCACAAGTTCTCTGCCTTCATCAAGAACCCAGTGCCTGCCCAGGATGAGGGTGAGGAGCGAGTAGGGGTGCAAGCTCAGGTGCCACACCCCAAAGCCTAGCCTGGTCGCACTGAGCCTTCCCAGTACCCCACCCAGTCCAGGTCTGTCCAGGCACCGCCCTCCCTGTGCGGCTCAGGGTGGCAGTGCCAGGTCTCTGTGGGAGGGCAGAGGCAGGTGCCAGCAGGCCGACAGGTGCTGCCTGGACACAGGGCTGGGCTGGCAGGAGGCCACAGCAGAGCAGGGGCCCCATGCCCTTACCTGGCCACCCTCCCTGCAGCGCTACAGCGGAGCCTGCTGCGGGCCCTGCTGAAGCTGGATGAGTACCTGGCTGCCCCTCTGGAGCACGAGCTGGCCCGAGATCCCCATCTCCGGGCCTCCCAGCGCCCCTTCCTCGATGGAGACTACCTCACACTGGCTGACTGCAACCTGCTGCCCAAGCTCAATATTGTTCAGGTAAGCTAGGGGCATTACAGTACCATTTCCTTCTCCTTTCCCTGGCATCCCCATGCCATTAGCCTCATGATCTCACTTTCCCCTTGGTGCCTGCAGCAACCCCCTGCTCCTTCCCCAGTTGCTCTGTCAGCTGTGTCCCCCAGCCTCCCCCTCCCCAGGAGGCCTGCCTAGCACAGTGCCCTCCCACAGATCCCACTACCCTCTGCATCCCCTCCCAAATGCCAGCCCTCAACTGTCCCCTAGCCCCCTGCCACTCTTCCAGACTGATGCCTGCCCTGGTGGTGGGGCACTCCTCGGCACAGTGTCAGGTAAGGCTCCCCCATTTGTGCCTGCAGGTTGTGTGCCAGCACTACCGTCGCTTTGGGATCCCCAAGGACCTGCGGGGCGTGTGGCGGTACCTCAACAGGGCCAGTGAAACCAAAGAGTTCAAATACACCTGCCCCAATAGCCAGGAGATTATACAAGCCTATCGTTCTGTGGTCCAGGCACTGCAGTGAGCCAGGCACGTGCCCTGGTGGGCGTAGGGCCAAGGTTGGGGTCAGGCAGGAGGTCAGTGCCCACCCTGGCCCTGCCTGCWGGGGCTCAGGAAGGCTGAGCACAAGCTGGGCCCCTCGCACCCAATTTCCCTCCACTGGTACTCAGGTGCCAGCAAGAATCTGCAGTGCTCTGAGCCCCTCTTGTGCCACCCACCCTTCCTCCCAGCCAGGACAAGCTCTGTGGCCCCTCAAGCATCAGGATGTGGGTAAGGGAGCAGAGCTACAGGGACCATCAGTGCCAAAGCTATGCCTTGYTGAGGGTAGGGATAGAGCTGGGAAGAACAAGCTGCCCTGTAGCCACTTGCATAGGCACATTGTGCCACTCGCCTGAGCAGCAGGCACCACAGGCTGCCCTCATACCTGCGCCAGGTGAGGGGACCCAAAAGAGCCATAGAGAAACCTGGGGACAGAGCTGGAGAAAGATGGCACAGGCAATGGCCAGAGAATGAGAACTCGCTGTCAGAAAGCTCTCAGCAGATTTGGGGGTTATGATGAGGGGAAAACCCAAGCTAAGCTTCAGAGCTCCTGGAAATCAATAAAGGCTTTGCAACTGAGACCAGTGTGAGTCTGGAGTGATTACCCCAGCAGCTCCTCCCTCACAGGGCTTTGCAGGAGCTCTTCATCCTTTCCCACTGCYCAGAAAGGCAGAGCCCACCCTCCCAGCTCTCCAAAGCGGTTGGCCAGGCTCTAACCACCCACCCACCAGCCCACTTGCAAAAAGCGGGAAGGGAAGGGAACTTCTCTGAGGCCCAGACCTTCAGGTTCTGCTGAAACAGGCCCAAGGCTTCCAGAGAAAGGGAGAGGCAGGATGAACAGACACACCCGGAAAGACTGRCTGGTGAAAAACACCTTTACTGGGAAGAAGTGAAGCACAGGTGATCTTTCCATTCCATGGTATARAAGTTCCATCCAAACCCCACCAGTTCACAGTGAGGCCAGGAGGTGGTCCCTGCCAGCAGGGAAGAGCTGCAGGGGAAAACCCCACCATGCTGGTGTCCCTCCTGCTTCATCTGTCCCCACCAAAAGCCCTGCCACCACCACAGCTGAGGGGTGGCTGCCAGGTGCTACTGGCTCTGTTGTGTCCCTGGGTGCAAGAWGCTCAACAGGCCCAGAACACAGGGACACCCCCTCCTTCAGACACAGGGGTCTATAGGGCTGTCAKCAGGGCATAGGACAGCACCTGTCAGGAGTCCTCGAAATTCACGCCAGATGGTGCTTTCTTGCTGGAAGGAGATGGAGGAAGGATCAGAGCCTCGAGCTCCATGCCCTGCTGCCACACAACTCCAGAGCAGAGCACACAGGATCCCCAGTGAGCAGTACCCAGCCCCAGCACTGACCTTTTGAAACCAGGGTTAATGAGAGACTCCCCCGGGACCTTCCTCTTGGCTGGCAAAGCTGAGCCAGAAGCCAAACTCTTCTTGGGGCTGGGGTCTGCTTGAGTCAGTAACAAGCAGCACACAGATTACAAGTTAGCCAGGAGCTCCAGCAGCCCTGCCAGTCCCTCCAGAGCCAGCCGGAGCCTCCAGCAGCCCTGCCAGTGCCTCCAGCAGCCCAGCCTGGCAAGACCAGCAGCTATGAAGGGTGAGGAAGGGCTAAACTTGGTCTCCTCTCTCAAAGGAGCCATCAACCTGCCAACAGTCTGGAAGCACAGCAAAGCCTGCCCTCCTTCAGAGGCTGGCAATGCTCAGCCTTTGACCCAAGCATTCCAGACACTATGAGGCCCACCACACTGAACCCTGCCCCTGCTCTGCTGGGAAGAGCACCAGGACAGCCAAGAGACACAGCTGAGGGCACTCAGTGTCCAGAGGCCACATGGATACAGGACCAGCAGCCTCCAGAGTGGAAAGAACAGACTGTGGGACCATGGCAGTGCCTACCTGGCAGGAATAGTTGCTGGCTCTGGGCAGCTTTCTTGTCAGGACTGCAGGAAGATGCCAATGTCTSCACTGCTACTGAGACAAGAGCCAGAGCCAAAGCTTGTGACAACATCCCCCAATACTGCATGCAGCATCTCAAGCCTTCCCAGCAAGCTCCCACTACAGACAAACTAAGCATCATTCTCCTCTCAGCACTTCCAGCCATACTGCTGTTGCTCCAAAATCTTCCCAGACCCTTCTGTCAGAGAAGTCTGTAAGGTGACTCGAACATTCGGGATGCTGGTGTGGTGCTGGCCATGCAGACAGAGCTGTGTTTTTGCACAGAGACACCCCACTGTGTCCTCTGGGCCCAGGCAGTCTTTTCTGCCTGGAAGGGTCTGGTGMAGACCCTGGCCAGCTTTGAGAATTGGCCAGCCCAGACAGGGAAGCAATGGCAGCAGCTCTGCTGCTGGCCCACTGGGAYTGGTGAGAAGAAACTACCTGGGGAGGCACACCCCTCTCACGAGTGACTGAGCTCGGGCACCCAGGGTACTTTAGGTGGGAGTGATGATTCCATGAAGGTGGCAGGAGCTGCTCGCCCTCCCCCCTTCTAAACCCACCACGGACCTTCCAGGCGCCTCTCCAGGCTCTCGATRCAGCTGGCCATGCCGAAGACCAGCGCCTGCAGCTGGCTCCGCGCCTCGGCGGCGGGCAGCTGGACGAGGGTCACGGCCGGGCAGCGCGGCTCCTCCGGCAGCCGCAGCGTGGCCGAACCCGGGCCCAGGCTCAGCGCAGCGGCCCCGTGACCCAGGGCGGCCCTGCGGGGAGCGGGGGTGAGGGGAGCGGGGGAGAGGGGGAGCCCCGGACAAGGTGGGGCCCGGGCTGAGGGGAGACCGAGGCGAGCGGGTGCCCGTGGCGATGCGGTCCGAGGGTGGCGGTACCCACCTGAGCACAGCGCCGTGTTCCTCCGGCGGGCACCGCTACAGGGGAGAGGAGGAGAGAATGTCCAACACGGCCTAATGTGGGCCGGCTCCATTCCTGCCCCGCCGGCACCTCCCTGCCACCCACCCCACACACACCGCAGTACATACGCAGCTGAGCGCCGGGCACTCGCCGAGCTCCCCGGCCCACACCTCCATCGCGTCGGTCACACTGCGGGAGGAAGCGGCTCAGGCCAGGGCTGCGCCACCCCCGTCCGGCTCCRTGCCCACCCCCCCATCAGGTTCTGCTCCCGCCCCGCTCTCACTAGACAGCGCCGTCGGGCCCGCAGTAGCAGAGGAATCGGCTCGTCCCGGCTCGCAACAAGTGAAAGGACCCGGCGGGCTCCGCCATGGCCGCGGCGGAAAGGGCGGGCGGAAGGGGCGGGCGGGAGCAGCGAGTCCTGTCCAGGGCGGGGTCAGAGAGCCCCACCATGGTGAACCTGGGCGTGCGGCGAGTGGAGGATGATGTAGCCGCCAAGCACCCGGTGCGCCCCGCGGGGGACGGGCTGGGGGTCTGGGGCTGTGGGAGAGCCGGGGCTGTGGGAGGGCCGGGGCTGTGGGAGGGCCGGGGCTGAAGGGGCCGGGGCTGAAGGGGCCGGGGCTGAAGGGGCCGGGTGGGCCTTCGGCCCCGGCACTGACGCGTCCCCGCAGGCGCTGCAGCAGTACGCCGCTTGCCAGTCCCACGCCTTCATGAAGGGCATCGGCACCTTCCTGGCAGGTAAGGGCCGGTCCAGCCACCCTGGCAGCCCCGCGAGCCCCCAGCAGCTCGGCCGCTCCCCGGGCCGTTCCCGGTAACTCCGTTCTCGCAGGCAGCGTGGCAGCATTCGCCGTGCAGAAGCTGGCGCGGCAGAAGCTGCCGTACAGTCCGCAGTGGAGCCTGCTGCTGGCCGCGGGTAAGTGYCCGGTCCGGGCGGTGTGGAGGGGTGTTTGCCATTGGCATGGGGGCTCTTCCCTGGCTCCACCCAGCTCCCTGCGCCTCGGCCCCGAGGGCGCAGGAGGATTCGTGGCAGCAGGTGCTGTCCCCACCAAGGTGCTGCTGTCACTCAGGAACATCTCGGTCTCCCCAGCTGCAGGGTCCCTCGGGAGCTACGTGGTAACCAGAGCTGAGACGCAGAAATGCTCCGACTTCTGGATTTACCTGGAGACAGGCAAGTCCCCACAGGAGCTCACCGTGACTGCTGGGGTGTCTCAGCCTGCAGGTACAGTCATATCTTCCTACTGCTTTCCCTGAGCTTGTCATGCCTGATTCTTCCCTGCTGCAATAAYTACTTTGCTGTTTCTGTCTCATAATTAACCTGGTGATTGTGTCATTGCCAAATTCTCTGTATAAGTGCCACATTGGCACCTCGCAGCCAAGGGATGGGAGCAAGAGCATCCATGGTAGGTGGACCTCCCTGCCTGGTTTTGTGCCTCCCACGTCCTTCTGTGCTCCTGGCACAGTGGGTTCCTGGTGATATGGGTTAGGTGCACTTGCTGCTTGCTTTGGGTATTCGTGACAGCCAACACAAAAGCTCATTTGCTGGAAGAGGAAGGAGAAGAGAAAGGATGGAGAGAGCAACTGAGGTGTGGAGGGGTTTGCTGCTCTATAGGGTGGGCAGAACTGGAGGGGCATYGAGACAGGTGCTGCTGGACAAACCTCATGGCTGCTTGCTGCTCTCTCGCACACATATTTTGAGCTCCCAAGGCTGAGTTAACTTGACAAGGCTTTACATGCTTCACCAAGGCTCTGTGGTTCTTTGCCCACYCTTGGCAAACTCACCAGGGTAGTTGGAGGTCCAGGAAACTTGTATTTTCTGTTGCAGAAAACCTCCCCAGTGCAGAGGACAGGGACAGCACTGCGACACTGGTGAGGAGGAACAGGTATGGTGACATGGTGGAGTAGCCAGCAGACCATCGCATGCTGTGCCCATGTCCCACTTCACTCTCTCCTGCCTGCCCAACCCGACGCTTCCCGTGCTTGCCTGTGAGGCTGGTGGGCTTGACAACAYTGCTGGGAAGCTCAAAGGACTTGATCCTGCAGTGAGAATGGGTGGAGGTGCCTCAAGGATTGCTGCTGCCCGTCCCATGACCTCTGCACATTGCACTGGGGCTACAATAAAAGTTGAGAGTTGAAGGCACTTGTTKTGGATGAGGTGAAGGACAGAGCAGGTGGTGAATGTCAGCCTGAGGCAACCTCTGCAGTAAATGTTGGAGCAGAGAGCTCTGGTCCCTCTGTGGCAGTGGCACTCAGCACCTTCATTGCTCTGGAGTGGCTGCAGGCACAGACCAGTCTGGGCTAAATTGTGAGATTACAACTGTTGCTGTGTCCTCCTATGTTTCCTGAGCCCAGCCAATCCCCATGTCCCTTCCTCYGCAGCAGCATTTTCATACCCACCTGTGCAGGCCTGAGCTGAGCCCCACAGCTGGGTGGCCTCTGGGGTGTCCTCTTCCCCTGCAACAGGGGTGACCATGTGCCCAAGGCCCCTCTCTGCAGTGCTTACCTGTCACTAGCTAGTCCCAGATTGCCCATCCAGATCCAAAACTAGTTGGCAAGGGAATGRTACTGCCCCGAATCCCATGCATGCAGCGGAGCCTGTGGGTTTTTTCCTAATGTCAAACTCCAAGTCTTGACTAGGTAAACTGTCTGCTCTTGGTGAATGTCCAGCTATGATGCAGCTGCAGCTGAATTTCTTAGAAGAGGAAACCCAGCCTGGGTTTTGGGAGCTGCCTGKGTTCTTAAAGCAACGTTTCAGTTTTAGGAACCAGATGTGCCTCCACCTTTCTGTGAGATATATAGACAGGCCCTGAGCCTCACCACAGGAGGGAGTCCCTGTGCTGAGGAAATGAGCTTGGGGAGAAAACTGGGTTTGGGGGTTCACAGCATCATCTGAACTGGGATCAGGTTTGCCCTGGGCAGAGGAGATGTGGGAAAGCCAGTGGAAGAGCTGAAAGCAAAGTGCTGCAGGGAACAGATGTATTAAGCCAAGCATTCCCAGAGCTCAGCTGGAGCAGGGAAGAGAGTTGAGAAGTAAGCAAACCCATAGAGCAGAGTTAGTGCTGCCAGCAGGAGCAGTGAGAAACTGCAGCTCCCTACAGCCACTCCTCTCCAGTGTTCATGGAACKTCCAGGGCAGGGGRCAGCTTCCTGATGGATTGCAGAGCTGGGACCAGCCCTATGCAGCTGCCGGGCACCAGAATATGTGTCCTGGCGTCTCTGAGCTGCCAGTGACTGCAGCAGCAAATGTAAGCTGCTCTGCTGCCCTTGAGCACCAGAGCTGGGCCCTGGCATCTGAGGCTGCTGCAGGTTGTTTTCCATGGGGGCTGTGGCAGTGAGGGGCAGCTTGAGCTTTCTGCTCCCAGCTTTGGGGTGACTGCGCCTCCAGCACTGGGGAAATCTGAACGTGGTGACTGGTCGGCTGGAGGTCCTGCACCTCCAGGTGGGCCTGGGTCTGGAGTGAGATTTCCAGCCCACCTTGGTCTGTTTGAAGTGGGCTCTGGGCTGGTAGAGCCATAATGTTCAGCACTCGACAGGCTGCAAGGGCTGAGACCTTTGGGCAGAGCCTCACCTGTGGATGTGGCTGAGGGGCTCTGCCCCCATAGGACAGCCAGGCTGAATTGGCTGTTACTGATAACAAGCAACCAAGCCATAGCAGTGGTTATAAAGGTTTATTTCAGATTATTAAAAATACTCAAACAAAACCAAATCTTCATGTTTGCACATCCTTGTTCTTATTCAATTGGAAACAAAGGTGCATCCTCCCAACTGCCTGGTGTGTGGTGATACCAGGCTGAAATCCTGGTGTGGAGCAAAGCCTCCACTGCAGGAGCCCATTGCCTCTGTGCTGGCATGGCCATGCACCATGAAGCCGCAGGAACTGGGGCATGCAGGAGTCTCTGGCTGTGGCAAAGGCAAGTCTAGCTTAAGAACCATGGGGATAGGGAAGACACCATGTCTGGTTGTTGAAGCTGGACTTGGAAGCTGCCATCTCCCCATGTCTGGTTGTTGCTAAGTCCTTATCGAGATTTGAGGCCAATGGCCAAGGCCAAGACTTTGCCTTCAGAAAGGTCAGTGGGGTTTGTGCATCAGCCAGAAAAACAGTGAGCTTTGGGTGATGCCCAGAGCTCCCCAGGAGGCAGGGCTGATGCTCCAGGGACAGGCTAGTGAGGTCAGCTATAAGGACTAGTGTGAGTAATATTCCCCACTCATCCACCTATGCATGAAAATTAATCCTGTTSTTGCCTGCATTCATTGGCCCAGTCCAGCTCAGCTCTGGTGACAAAAAGATGTCCTTGCTCTGAATGTCCCATTTCCGAGCCTGCTCCAGGGTCCATCCTTGACTARTGCTGGGAAACCTTTAAGCCTTTCTCCCACGGGCAGTGATCCTCTTCTGTCCATCCTTTCCTGCAGCTTGAGGGCAAGGGGAGGGCAAAAGGGGATAGCTTTCCTTCTGGGATGGTGTCAGGCCTTGGAGGAGGACATKGAGCACTTGCCACATCGCAAGCATTCAGACCATAGAGCCTCCAGCAGGTAGGATGGTGCTGGTCCTGCAGACACGGCCCACCCTGTCCCTGCCATCAGATTATGCTGGACTTGCTGTGCCGGAGCAGGCAGATGGCAGTCACRAGGGACGTCAGGGTGGTAACCACAAAGAGCAGGATGAGGATGACCCAGTAGTTGTACAACATGCTTTTGTGGGAGGAGGGCTTCTCTGCTGGGATCATGTTGGTGAAGTTCAGCATGTAGCCAAGGGCCCAGCCAATTGAGGTGTCTCCTGCCTGTGGAAACAGCATGGCATGGTCACCACCCAGCCAGCCCAGCAGAATGGGCTTCAAAAGACCTTGGAATCATAGAATCATGGAATCATTAGATGTCTTTTTCAACTTTAAGATCATGGAGTCCCAACCAGTAACACCAGCCACCACTAAACTATGTCCCCAAGTGCCACATTCACACGTTTTAAGTCCCTCCAGGGATGGTAACATCCATAGGCAGCCTGTTACAATGCCTGACCACACTTTGCATGAAGGAATTTTCCCTAAAATCTAATTGAAACCTCCCCTGCACAACTAGAGGCTATTTCCTCATCCCGTCACTTGTCACTTGAGAGAAGGGAGCAACTCCCACCTGCTTACAACCTCCTTTCAGGGTTTTGTAGAGAGTGAGAAGTAAGAGTCCCCCTTGAGCTTCCTTTCCTCCAGGCTGAGCTCCCCTAGCTCCCTCAGCTGCTCCTCATAGGACTTGAGCTCCAGACCTTTCAGGGACTACCTCAGTGTCAGCCCAGGGGAGAAGAAGAGTGTGAGGGAGCCCAAAACCACCCAAGCCCCTGCTCACCCACAGGTCCAGCCAGCCAGGGACAGAGCTCCAGGCTCATCCCCTGGGAGTAAAACCTTGTACACTCAGGCCAGTCCTGATCTCCTTGCACATCCCATGGCATATGCAGACGAAAGTGGGATCCTGCCTTGAGGTAACTTCCCAAAAAGCCTCGGCAAAGCATCGTTTGGGATGGCTGGTATCAAGGGTCAAGGAAGAGCTAAAGGACCTGACCCCATTGACCACCCTACAGCCAACTCAGCTCATTTTTTTCCATCCCCCAGGAGATCCCTCCAAAAAGTGAGAGTTGCAATCTGCCACTGTTCCCTGAGATCTTCCTTCAGTCTGCTTGTCTCTTTCTGTGTGGCCTCATATCTCCTGCACGGTTCCTTGGCCTAACTCCAAACATCCCATGGGATGGGGATGTATTGTGGTGCTACCTACCTTCTTCTGGAAGGCGATGTTGGGGAAGGAGTAGTTGTTGAAGTTGTAGCCTTTGGTGGTGAGCAAATACACAAATGTGCTGACAGCGCAGTAATCTGGCAGCCTCTTCTCCAGTTTGGGGGCTTTCTGGAGGAGCTGGATGTGATGCACAGAGGGTAAGAGAGGAGGGGTCAAGCCAGTAGTGGCCAGGCTTGTGTCTGTGGCCTGAAGTTCAGGCTGGTTGCACCTTTGAGTCCAAGGTTGCCCATACCTACCTGAGCCCCCTCCCAGCGGGAGCCATCAATTGCCTTTCCCCCTAGTCCCATCAGTGCCAGGAAACCCAGTGTTCTCCAAGGGTTGCCCTCAAAGCCTGGGTGATGCCCCACATGAAGCAGCCCCCTCCTTCCCCCCCTGTCCAAGGAGCCCACCTCACTCCATCTGGTGGCACAGATGGYCTCTGCAGCATCCTTTAGGTCACTGGGCAGGTGCACAGATCTCCCCATCACAGTCTGGATGAAGTCCACCGTGTAGAAGAAGGCAGAGAAGGCCTGATGGAGGGAAAGGAGAAGCTGTGGGACGGGCTGGGAAAAAATGCCATTACCATGAGCAGACACTCCGACCAGCAGGGTGGGCACCAGCAACTGCCCATGCAGAGCTGGCTTTGCTGCCACACGATGCTGGGGAGCTGGGCACAACCTGCCCAGCCTGCATCCAGGTCACTACCCTGCTCCATGCTGGGACTTACAATGAAGTTTCCTGAAACCTTTGGCTGGAAAACACCATCAAAGGAGCAGTGGGAAAAGGAGCAGTTGGTGAAGTCGAAGAGCTTGCTGACATGCAAAGCACAGAGGTTCCCGTTCCCAGTGCCGACCAAGGTAACGGTGGTGTCAAGGGCGAAGCTTGGCCTCTCCTTCTCCGTGCAGGGGCTGTCATAGATGCTGCTCAGCAACAGGCTCTTGTTGTAGCCCATGGGCCAGCAGGGATGGGAAACAGTTTCTTGGTAGCTCTCAGCCTGCCAGAGGAGGSACACACAGGACATTACCATAGCCACAGCTCCCCCAGAGCTTGAGCAGCGAGACACAGAGCAATTGCCACAAGTGTCTCAAGATGGCTTGGGGTGTCTTGGCTCTAGCCAAGGCCTGCATTGCCTAATGGAGATGGTGGGAGGAAGCCCTGGGAACACGGGACAGGGTTGGGGACAAAACCCAAGAGTTGGCTGGGTGTGCAGCTGGCCCAGGGCTGGGGGACAGTGTAAACACCAGGGTGAGGGGGCAACTGGGGGTCATGACAGCCAGCATCCACAGCAAGTGCACACTGTACCTGGAGGATTTTGGAGAGCAGCCTCTTGAGGACCTGATCCCTTCCATAGCAGAGGAAGCTGTGTGTGTATACTCTGTATACCTGGCCATACAACTTCAGGATCACCTCGTTTCTGGGGTTTTCAATGGTGTCCCCGGTTTCAAAGGTGATCTGTGTGGAAGCACCCCCGAAGTCCATGGCCCCCAGGGTCTTCCTCTGAGGTTGTATCCATTCTCCAAGCCACCCACGCTGAGCCATACAGAGGACAAGAGCAGGCATAAGGATATGATGAGCTGCTCAGCCACCACAGCCACCCCACTGTGCACCACCATCCCCTGCCCACCTTGATGAAGTTCTCCAGGAGGTAGTTTGCAGTGACCCAGCCAAAGACCCCTTCTTCTTCCCCTGACAGGATCTTTGCTCCCCGGAAATCAAAGGGGTATGTCTTCACCGTGGTTGCCACAGCTCTGAGGACAGCGTCTGACGCCTGTGAGTCTGCAATTCTATGTGCCAAGTGAGAGGGCAGAGTGACAGGGCWGGGCCACAGTGCAGCAGAGCCCTCCCTGTCCTAACTGCCTTTGGCAGCCAGCACTGCCATAGCATGGGGTGTTACCAAGGCAAGCCCTTGCCTGGGTACCTATAGGCATAGCCCAGAAATCCACCAGCTAATTCCCTTTGTCTTTGCTAGAGGAGGCAGGTAGCAGGAATGGAAGTGTGCTCCCTCCTATTGGGAAGATGGGATCCRTCCTTCTTTGACTGGGTGAGGGGAGTACAACTCCTCCTTTGAGCCTGTCCCATCAGGCTGGCAGTGGGTGCAGGGGATTTTCCTCCTAGCAAACCAGAAAGTCTGATGGATTATTCTGGTGCTGGCCCCACACCAGCTCCTTTCCACTAGGGCTGTGCTGGCTGTGCCCTGCAGAGYGTATCCTGTTCTGAATGGCAGGACCCTGCAAGGGACACAGCACTGGGCAGCTGGGTGGTGAAGARCTTTGCCCAGCAAAGGGGCAACATTTCAGCCACCCTTCAGCACTTCCAACCCTGCTGTGCATGGCAAGCTGGCATGTCAGGGTGGCATGGCAGAGCGACATGAYGGGGTCCCCTGAGCACTTACTTGAGCAAGCGCATGCCAGCTGTGGCACCAAGGTAAAGTGGGGTGCCCAYGTGCTTTTCCTGGGGCACATCTCTCAGGGCCTGGTTCAGGCAGTGCTCCAGGCTTGCCCCAGCCGCTGGAGGGTTCAAGCTGTAGCTGGAAATGCCAGGACCTGTGGAGAGGAAACAGCATTGCTCCCTGCAGGTGAGGGGATGATGCTCAGYGGGAGGATGCCTGGTGAGCAGCTTTGCCCTTTCCAGGTATCCAAAAGGCAGATTTCTATAGGCATGGAGTCATCCAGGGTCCAGCCACATCTCCCTGACCMCACTGCATCCCCTGCTGGCTGACAGTCTGGAAAAGGTTAATAAATGGAGAGTGGGAAACCATCCCTGGCTCCTCACTGGGCTAGGCAGGGAGCTGGTGGTTCTGTAACTGTCAGGAAAAGATAAACCACAAGCATGCACGGCTGCAAGCTTTGAGGGGAGTTGGGAGACATTTTGGGAATRGAGCTGAACCCTTTAGAATATGTCACTGCACTG